GTAAAGTTTATACCATCAAATTCTGGCATATCGTTTGTTGTATAATCATAGAAACTGAATAATAAAGTAGTAACATTGTAATTTAAACTGTCTAAAATTATAGAAGGATATATACCTAATACAACTGTAAATACAACCAATATTAAAAGTATTGAATATTCTCTTTTATTTAAATCTGGTAAATAACTATATCAGCCTTTAAATGTACCACCAAATATTATTCTATTAAACATAAATATTGTATATACTGCAGATAATACTATAGAAGATGCACCTAATATACCTGCTAAAGATAATCTTTCAAATATACCATATAAAGACATAAATTCTCCTACAAAATTTAAAGTAAGAGGTGCTCCACAATTACCTAAACATAATATAAAAAATAAGATAGAAAAGATTGGCATTATTTGAGCTAAACCTCCATAATAATTTATAGTTCTTGTACTAGATCTGTCATATAATACACCTCCACCACTAATGAAAAGTCCAGAAGATACAAAACCATGAGCTATCCCTAATATTATTCCACCTTGTATACCTTGTATTACATTACTTAGTATACCCGCAAAATAGACTGCTGCATGAGATACAGAAGAATAAGCTATAAGCTCTTTAACGTCTATAGTTCTTATTGTACTGAAACTTGCATAAATTATAGTTATAACACAGATAACGAATATTATATGTGTATAAAATATAAAAGCTTTAGGTACTAAAGGTAAAATTAATCTAAATACACCATATAAACTTAATTTTAAAACAATTGCAGCTAATATAACACTTCCCGATAAAGGTGATTCTACATGAGCTTTCAGTAATCAAGTGTTTAAAAAAATAACCGGAGTTTTTACTGCAAAAGCTAAAAAAATTCCCATAAATAAAAAGACTTGTGTTAAATAACCATAATCTGTTTTATATATAATATCCATATCAGTACAACCGCTTAAAGATGAAATTGTAATTATAGACAATAGCATAAACAATGAACCTAAAAATGTGTATAAGAAAAAATAGAAACTCGCTCTAAGTTTATCTGTAGACCCAAAAATTCCTATCAAAATGAATAAAGGAGCTAAAATACTTTCAAAAAAATATAAAACATTAATATATCTAATACAGTATATATTAATAACAATGCAGATTCTAATAATAATATTATTACTAAGAAATAAGTTGTTTTTGTATTTATTGATTTTCAATTGGATATTATAGATATAGGTGCAATTAAAGTAGTCAATAACACAAAATATATAGATAAACCATCTAAGCCCAAATAAAAATCATAATGGGCAACTGAATAGTGTTCTTGCACAAATTGAAAATGTTTACTACTATTATCAAATAAAAATCATATGATTAAAGAGATAAATAAATCAATTATAGTTATAGTTAAAGCCGTAATTTTTAAAACATTATCAGCTCCTTTATAATTTCTATCTGTGTAAAATATAAATATTATAAATGTCCCAAGTATCGGTAATAGTATTAACAAAGATAATAACATGATAAATATAGATGAATAAAAACCTATTACTGCTTAAATTAATTACGCTAATAACGGAGGATGTTAAAAGCAGGCACTTTCTTAATGAATTTGAATAATGATAAATTATTTTTTATTAAAATAATTTAAAGATTTAGTAACGATTAATATATAATATTCTTAATCTATAACTTACGGTTTGTATTTTTCATGGTAATAGCGATTAAAGCGTGTATTATAATAAAAATATTATATTCACTAAAATAACTTACACTAATATAAGCTATCAGTCCTATAAAGATATATAACGCATAATTAGTAACAACACCTGTACTTAGAGAATCTATTTTTTTACTCATATTAGTAAGTTGTTGCTCTAAACCAAAGGGACCAAATAATTCAACTGCTCCTTTATCTAAAACTTTAGTAGTTAGACCACCTAAATTTAGAACTGCTCCAGAAATATATCTATTATAATACATTTCTACTAAAAATCTTTGATTGAAAAAACTGAATATATTATAACCAAATCTAGATAATTTAAAATTAACAAGAGATTGAGGATAAAATTCTGTAAATGCGATAGAACATATAGTTAAAACAATAGTAAAGAATAGAGGTGATAATTTATATATTGTTTTAACTCCAAATTCTGTGTCTAACGTAAGTTCATGGTGAGGATGTATATATAATGCATTATCTGAAAAGAAATCAGAACCTAAACCTATAAAAAGATCTTTAGTTAAATACCCAAAAAATATAGAAAATACACCTAATATTATCAAAGGTGTACTCATAAACAAATCACCTTCATGTGCAGATTTATTTTCTTTATAATTTACTAAAGAACCATTAGGATTAGTTAAAAAAGTTAAATATAATACTTTTACAGAATAAAGCGTAGTAAACATAGCACCAATTGTTGCTATGAAATACACGATAATACTAGATAATTTAAATTGACCGTATGCTGATTCTAAAATAAAATCTTTAGAATAAAAACCAGTCATAAAAGGAAAGGCAACTAAACTCAAAGATGCAGTCAACATAAGTGAATAAGTTAAGGGTAAATATGAAATCAAACCACCATATTTTCTAAAATCTTGATTATCTGCTACTGCATGAATAACTGCACCCGCACATAAAAATAATAAACCTTTATAAAAGGCATGATTTATTAAATGAAATAATGCTATTGTGTATGAAGATAAACCAATAGCTATAACCATCATACCTAATTGACTCATAGTTGAATAAGCTATAACTTTTTTTATATCTTGTTGAAATAAACCAATAAGAGAACTAAATACAGTTGTAATGGCTCCTACTCATAAACATAATAATAAAACAGTAGAACTATATTCTATTAAAGGAGAAGCTCTCATTAATAAATATACTCCTGCAGTTACCATAGTTGCAGCATGTATTAAAGCTGAAACAGGTGTAGGACCTTCCATCGCCATAGGTAATCAAACATGTAAACCTACTTGTGAACTTTTAGCCATAGCTCCTATTAATAAACATACACCTATAAAAAAGATAATACTTTCACTATAAAATGGTGAAAGTGAAAATACTGTAGTATAATCAACATTTCCAAATGATAATAAAATAGCAAACATTCCTACAGTTAAAACATAATCACCCACTCTGTTAGTAAAGAATGCGGCTAAAGAACTTTGATTTGCTGCTATTCTAGTAAATCAGAAACTTACTAATAAATAAGAACAACCTCCTACACCCTCTCACCCTACAAACATAACTAAAAAATTATCTCCTGTTACTAAAATTATCATCATAAATGTGAATAAGCTTAAATAACTGAAAAATCTTTGATTGTGTGGGTCATGACTCATATAACCCACAGAGTATACATGTACTAAAGATGATATAATCAATACAGGTATTAACATTGATACGGTTAAAGAATCAAAATTAAATGCTCAAGATACATTTAAATACTCTGCATCTATTCATCTGAATAAATGTATTTTCACAGGATTTTTATTTAAACCTACTTCTATAAAGGCTAATATGGCTAAAAGGGTTGTCATTATTACACATGTACATGTTATTATTTGGGCTCCACTCACTCCAACCTTTCTACCAAAAAAACCGGAGATTATTGATCCTAATATTGGTAAACCTAGAAGAGCTAGATACATTATTTATTTTCTATAGCTATAGATCCCCGCAATCTGTAAAAAGCAACTAATAAACCTAAACCTATCGCAGATTCTGCTCCTGCTATGGCTATTATATATATAGAAAAAGTTTGTCCTAATATATCATCAAAGCTTAAGGAACTTATCAATATTAGGAAAGTTATTGATAATAACATTATTTCAATTGAAATAAGCATCAATATTATATTTTTTTTATTTAAAACAAAACCTAAAGTTCCAATTAAAAATAAAATTAGTGGAAATCTCATATAAAATTTAGCTGATTAATTATGTATTACTAATTATGGGTAAATACTTTGAATTGAACAAAGAATTACTATGCCACAAATAGTTGTTTTACCATTAAACTATATCTACCTTACATAGTAAAAAAAACTAGGCCACGTATAATAATAAGAAGGCCATCATTAATGCAAATAAACCTGTAGCTTCTGAGAAAGCGAATCCAAGAATTGCATAAGAGAATAATTGTCCTCTTAAAGAAGGGTTTCTAGATACACCTATTATTAATGCACCAAAAACTACACCAATTCCAACACCGGCTCCTATTAATCCAGTTGTTGCTAAACCTGTTCCTATTATTTTAGCTGCTTGTATCATTGTTTTATGTAAATTTTCTGTACTACTAAAGAATCTTCAGCATTTTTTTATTAAGATTGGTTTTCTTAGCTTGGTTCTAGACCAAGATTGAAATATTTAATAGCTAAAAGCTTTCTTATCCCGGAATTGAACCAAGATCGGAATATTAGAAGTATTCTGCTTTACCCTTAAGCTAATAAGAATTAGGAAGAAAAGGATTCGAACCTTCGACAGCAGAATGCTATTGAGTTTACAGCTCAACCCGTAAACCAACAAACGGACCCTTCCTTTACCCTGTTCCCTCTTACCAAGAGAGAAATTCGAATTCTCATTATTAACGCATGAAATTAATGTTCTAACCAATTGAACTATCTTGGCTTTTTCTAAAGTTATAATTTAAGTAAATATTTATATATTTCTCTAAGGCCAGAATGATTTGAACACTCATCTAAGCTGTCATGAGCAGCTGGCTTTGCCAATTAAGCTATAGCCTTAAAATTTATTTTTTTGTTTTTTTTACCTTTTAATCATTTATTATTAACTATAATCAATTTAGAAAAAACACAAAAAATTTATGCGCCTTTAAGATGACTCGAACACCTAACCCAAATATTAACAGTATTTTGCTCTACCTTTGAGCTATAAAGGCTTTTAGATCTTTTTAATAATTATTTTAGGAATAAGGAAGAATCGAACTTCTAATTGTTGATCTGCAATCAAAATGCAAACCTTTTGCAGCTTATTCCTTAAGAAGTGGACAAGACTTGAACCTGTATGAATGTGTCCGTAGCACAACGTTCTACCAATTAAACTACCACTTCTATTTTTATTAAAAGGTCTTTTAATAAAATTTTTTATGTTGGAGCGATTCGAACACTCAATAGTAAATACCAAAAATTTATGACTTACCTATTAGTCGACAACATATCATATAGGTGACAAGACTTGAACTTGTAAAGTAAAAACTACTCCGTCCTAAGCGGAACCTGGTTACCAAATTTCAGCACACCTATTATGCACGCTCGAGGTAAGACTTGAACTTACAGCCTAAACATCTTCAGTGTTCCGCTCTACCAAATTGAGCTTCTCGAGCCTTTCCTCCCGCGTACCGCGGAATATTATATATTTTGGAGATATTAGGACTTGAGCCTAAAATTACGAAGTGCAAGTTCGTTGTTTTACCAGTTAAACTATATCCCCTTTATCCGAGAAACGACTTGAACGTTTACGATATTTATCAATAAATCTTAAGATTATCCTGTCTACCAATTCCAGCACTCGGATTTTAATTAATCATTTAAATACAAATAAACTAAATATTAATTAGCTAAACTATTTGCTCAATTTATGCTTAAATAGAATAAAAATTTATAAAATTTTTAAGACCTATGGGACTTGAACCCATATTATAACGATTAAAAGTCGCATGTTTTACCTTTAAACTAAAGTCTCTTTTTAGTTTAAAAAACTAAAAAAAAAAAAAGATGTTATTAAACCGGTATTTTTAGTTTAATAACGGTTTTTGGAGGATAAAATATCCTCTTTCTTTTTTAAGGATAATAATTCCCGTGCAATTTCCATTACACGAACCATATTTCGACTTAACACCAATTGAGGTCACACATACGAAAATTACAAACTAAATAATATACTTCTAATTAAGTACAGTAAACATCAATTTGCAACCAAACTTATTGCGCATACCCCTTTCAGCGCCTGACGAGTAGTTAGTACCCATCTGAGATAAAATTCACCGTGACGTAATGATTCACGATTACTAGTAATTCCATATTCATGTAGTCGAGTTTCAGACTACAATTCACGAATAGTTATGTCCAAATTTGAGGATTAGCTCCATTTCACAATATCGCTTCCTTTTGTTGAGGCATATGTGGCACGTCTATAGCCCACACTCATTAAGGCCATGATGACTTGTCTTGATCCCGTTTATCTCATCCAATATAGCGGTGAACTGTTTTATGTAGACACTTAGGTCTTATATAAACAAGGGTTTTCGTTAATTAATGGAACTAACCAAAATCTCACGACATTAACTGAAGACAGCCGTGCAGCGCTTGTAAAAATATTCAAGAGGTGGTAAGGTTATTCGCGGACCATCGAATTAAATAACATACTTCACTACTGGTTTCAGAAACGGTCTAATGATTTCAATTTCGGCGTTGCCGCTTTACTCATGAGGTGGAATGCTTACACTTTCATTTATAGACTAGTACCTAGTCTATGGCACTCATAATTTTCTCCAAGGACTACTAGGGTATCTAATCCTTCTCGCTCCCCAAGGCTTCGTCCCTGAACGTCAGTTTCTACATAGAAGATTGCCTTCGCCGACATCCGTCCTACCTGTATCAATGCATACCATTGCTCCTCAGGTAATTCGCCTCTTCACACATAAAACTCTAGGAAATTAGTCCCTACTATGGCTTGATTTCCCGTCTAGGTACCCTTTAAACCTGTTAAAGATGAATAACACTTGTCTTCTACGTATTACCGCGACTGCTGGCACGTAATTTGGTCAAGACTTATAGATAAAATATAGTCACTATCAGTATTTTATCTAGAACTTTATACGACTTATTCGTTTTTCGTTCCCCCAAATTGCTGGTTCAGTCATTAGACCATTGACCAATATTCCCCACTGCTGTACGTTACGCATTGGGTTTTTTTCAGACCCAATGTGGTCGATCGACCTCTCAGTCACGACTACCGGAACCCGAGCTAGATTTAACTATTACTCTTCCAGAATAAACTAACATCTCAAAGCGAAACTTTCTATTTCTTTATTATTTATAAGGGATCTTTTCTTCCTTACTTCAAGGCAGCTAGATTATTTTTACTCACCTGTACACCACTACTAACTATATTATATAAAATATATAATTAAATTAGTCGTTCGATTAGCATGTGTCAAGCATTTGGACAGCGTTCACTCAGAGCCATCATCAAACTCAATTTTCGTAGTATTTTGTCCACTACTGATAATACTTTCTTATTTTACTTTATTAAATTTTTAACTTATATAATTTAATATTTATTCAAATACCTTATCAGTAAGCTATTTAGTCTCATTTTCTGCAAACAAAGGGTCTTACGGTAAAATTGTCAAATTTGTAATTTTTTTTTCGATATAGTTTACTTTAGACTATTACGCATGAATAGATTATATTTTTTTCTATTATCTTGTGTTTATAGGTGTTATGTTATTTTTTATAAATTTGCGGTAATATTTCTATTTTTTATAAAAATTTTAAATAAAAATAATTCTTTAAAAATAAAATTACTTTTTTAATTATTGTTTGTGTGTTACAGCTAAATCTATTAAACTATTTTCTAATAAAGTTATAAAAGGAACAATAATTAAAAAATGAGCAAAATATAAAGCAGTAGATATTTGCCCAAATTCAATAAAAGGTGATTCAACATGTTTTGCTCCTAATTGCATTAATATTAAAAAATTAGCTACAAATACAAAGAACGCTATTTTACTTAAAGGTCTGAATTGTATTCCTCTTAGATTAGATAGGTCAACAAAAGGCATTATCAGTAAGGCTAAAATAGCAGAAAACATTGCTATAACACCTAATAATTTATTAGGTATAGATCTTAATATTGCATAAAAAGGTAAAAGATATCATTCTGGTACGATTGCAGGTGGTGTTTGCATAGGATTAGCCATTACATAATTTTCACTATCACCTAACATATTAGGCATGAAAAATACGAAAATTGATAAAACTATAAAAAATATAAATATTGTTATTAAATCTTTAAAGATAAAATAGGGTGCAAATGGTAAACGGTCATAATTTCCTGATATTCCTAATGGGTTTCCTGAACCACTTGAATCATGTAAAGTTATTAAGTGCATTAATGCTAATGCAGCTAATATAAAAGGTAATACAAAATGTAAAGCATAAAATCTATTTAATGTAGCATTGTTAACACTAAACCCTCCTCAAATGAACTCTACTATATCTTGTCCTACTCAAGGGATAGCACTCATTAAATTAGTAATAACTGTTGCACCTCACAAGCTCATTTGTCCATATGGAAGAACATATCCCAAAAATGCGGTAGCCATCATTAATATGAATAATACTGTTCCTATTGTAAAAGTTAAGGTTCTTGGTGCTTTATATGACCCATAGTATAGATTTCTACCTATATGTAGATAAACTAAAAAGAAAAAAGCGGAAGCTGTATTAGAATGTAGATAACGTATTAATCAACCATTATTTACGTCTCTCATTATATGTTCTACAGAATCGAAGGCTCCCAATACAGTAGGTGTATAATGCATACCTAATGTTACACCAGTTATTATTTGTATAATTAAACATAACGCTAATAATGAACCAAAATTTCATAAATAACTAAGATTTGAAGGTTGTGGTGAATCTATTACGTATGAATTAACCAATTTTAGTAAAGGATGACTTTTTAAATTTCTCATTTTATTTATAGTATTAATTAGGTTATTATTTATTTTTTTTATCAATATTTTTTATATGTGTTTTAAATTAATTTTATCGTACAGAATCAAAAAAGTTAGGTAAATAAAAGGTAA